AGTGGAGTCTCTGACACACACAGACTTGGTGGCTGCCAGTATTGTGGAAAAACAGCCAGGGTATCGATTTTCCAACTCTTGCAGAAAACCTCTTGGATCCTCCTTGAGACCAGTCCATGGCACTCAACGGATCTCAGAAATGACACTCTCCTGGGAACATTTGGCCTGGAACATATTTACAAAACTCCAGAGGGGATAGAAATATCCCAACCCACTCCCTACAGACTCAAATTAGCAATTTTCTTCTTCTTTATAACCCCTCTGGAAATTTGAACTATGTAATATTAGTCTAAAATTAGGAGCATAAGTCACAAGAGAAAAGTGCCACTACTTTGGGAGAAAATATTTTCATAGCCTCATCCTGAGCATTTGTTCTAAATCAGAACACAGCAATGGTTCTTTCAAACACATATATTTTTTTTTTTCTCCTAATACTTGTAGATTGGGGCAAACATCTTTTCAGAGATATTTTTCTGTTGGCGGTACTGGGATTGAAACCAGGGGCGCTCCACATCCCCAGCCCCTTTTATATATTTGAGACAGGGTCTCATTAAGTTGCTGAGGCTGGCCTCCAACTTGCAATCCTCCTGCCTCAGCCTCTGTAAAGACATTGGAACAGGAAGAGCCAAGGGCCCAGGATGCTTTTCTTACACAAAGGTACTTTAGTTTTAAAATTTGATTAGTTAACTTTTTTTTTTTTTTTTTGTGATGGCAGGGACAGAACCCAGGGCCTCACACATGCTAGGCAAATGCTCTACCACGGAGCCACAACCCCAGCCCACAAAGAGCACCTTAATAATGACAACCCCAGCAAGACTCTGCAGCCAGTACTGGTTGAGATGTGCCAAGAAAACCGTGCAGAAGTGTTTTACAACTGTCATTACACTTAATCCTCCCGATAGCCCTGCAAGATGGGTTCTGTCACCCTGTTTTACACACCAGGGCAATTCGAAGCCTGGAGTGGTTAAGAGATTGGCCAGAGCCATATGGCTATGGAACCAGACGTTGTGGAGTTAGAATTTTAACCCAAGTCAGCAGAACGCTGAAGTCCACACCAAGACGCAGTTGCCATTTATTGAACACCTACTGTCTGTATACAGAAAGGACTTTATTTTTCTAATTAAATTATTTGTGTGCGCGTGTGCAGTGCTGGCAAGCTAAACCAGGACCCTGAGCTTGCTAGACATAGGTGTCACTGTCTCTGAGCAATACCCCCAGGTCTCATTTTCTAGAATCCCATGACAAACGCAGAGCCTTCCTGGGAAAGTCGGGTGGGCAGGTTTTGAGTTATGGATGACCAGGGGTAATGGTGCCCAACACTGGGCCAAAAGATTGTAACTTGGGTTAGAGGGACAGAAGTGGGTCAGAACCCTCAGGGGGCAGTAATACGTGCGTGGTGTGTGTGACCCAGAGGCAGAGCCAGGACCAAGGGCTGATGATCATCCCCAGAGCATCCATGCCTTCGGGAAGTTGTTCAGGGGCTGGACAAGCAGTTGGAAGCATCATAGAGGGGATTTCTACTTTGGAAGCACAGACTTTTGGGGAAGTGAGCTTTCCAAATTTCAGATTGGATCCTATCACCTTTCTGCTTGGCAACATCTACTGGATCCCAATGGTCTGCAAATCCAATCCAAGATGGCGCCTCACCATGAAGAATAAGCTTGTTTCAATCCCACTTTGACTTTCCACTCCTGGCCCCTTGTGCTCTGACAGTCCTGCGTCTCCCCACGTCCTCTCTGCATCCATAAATCTCTATAGACAGCTGTCCCTGCTGCTGAGTTGGTAAAGACTCATCCCTGTGTCTCCTGGAGGGCAGGGCTCTTCATTCCCTGGCAGACTTGACTGAGCGTGTGTTCAGTGAATGGGTGGGATTATGACACCTGACACCTTTCAAACTCTAAGACCCTATGTATTTTATTTTACTTTATTTATTTTTTTATTTTTTGGGTACTAGGGATTGAACTTAGGGGCACTCAACCTCTAAGCACCATCCCCAGCCCTATTCTGTATTTTATTTACAGACAGGGTCTCACTGAGCTGCTTAGGGCCTCGCCATTGCTGAGGCTGGCTTTGAACTCACGATCCTCCTCCCTCAGCCTCCCAAGCCACTGAGATTATAGGCGCCCACTGCACTGGCAAAGATTCTATTTATTTTTTGAAGTGGGCTCTCATTATGTGGTCCAGAGTGGCCTTGAGCTCCTGGACTCATGTGATTCTCCTATGTCACACCCCGCCACCAAACAGGTGGAACTACAGGTGCATACACTATGCCTGGCCATCCTGCTATTTCACATCAGCATTAAAGGGAAGGAACACAATGTACAACCACATTATAAGAGACTTGGGAGGCTGAGGCAGGAGGATTGCAAGTTGGAGGCCAGCCTCCACCACATGCAACCGATTGTAACCACATTGGGGACGTGGAGATAATAATAGTGATCATGATATAACCAGAGATAACCAGGAGCCAGAGCAGAAACCAGAAGGAGGTGAGAAAAGAGAAAAACAGGGAAGTGGCTGCCTTATGAAGAACAGAAGTCTTGCTGAGTGCAGGGGCACAACCCTGTCATCCCAGAGACTCTGGAGGCTGAGACAGGAGGATTGCAAGTTCGAGGCCAGGCTCAGCAATTTAGTGAGGTCCTCAGCCACATAGTGAGATCCTGTCTCCAAATAAAAACTACAAATGAACCGGGGATGTGTCTCAGTGGTAAACTGTCCCTGGGGACCAATTTCCAACCCCCTTTCTCCCCTGTTTTATCAACAGAGGTTTGTAGTAGATATCAAGTCATCAGGGCCTGGCTTCGGTCACCTCAAAGAAGCCATGAAAAAAAAAAAAATCACTGGAATCAGTTGTAAGTAAGCCTAGCAATGCCCTTGTCTTTTCTTCTTCAATGGTGTTGATGTGGCCATCTCTCTGGTTTCTGTGTGTCCCCAAACCTATAATTGGGAATTTGCAGTGAGATACCAGCGGAGGCTGCTCCCTCTTTCTCTCTGGTGCCTCGTGGATGCTGAAGACATGTTCTCCCATGGGGCTACGCCCCACGTCCCCATGTCACCTCTCTTGCTGACCTCTTGTTTCAAGATCCCTCATTCAGATTTGTAAAGAAAAGACCCCTCCTTCACGGGGTCCTCTGTGGTCCTTGGGGCACAGAGGAGGTCCTGGGGCTGAGGCTTAGGAATCTGGAAACTTTTTTTTTTTTTTTTTGACTCTTGACCATAATTACTTTTTTTCCCCCCTATTTTTATGAGCACGAATCCCTAAGCGTGTTTTATGTCCAGAGAAAAGTCCTGTGAATAACCGATGATACATGTGTTGATGAACTTGTGAATCATCCTGCGGGGAGAGAGGAGGGGAGGCCAGAGAGAGGGGGCAGGAGCTTTGGAGGCTGAATATAATGTGTTGTAAAATATTTAGCAAATGCTCATCCAAGCCACAGGGAAAATGTCAGAGACTTGGGAATTTGCAAGCTGCCAGGAGTTAAAAGCTATTTAATGTTATCCATCAGTGCCAAAGAGCGGAGAGCGCCTCTCTTCCCCCCCTCCACTGGCAACCACAGCCCCGATAATGTGGAAAGGGTTTGGATGGGAACTAAGATCCAACAGGCAGCAAGCTGAGAGGCCTTTTTGTTTGAGAACTTTGTAAACAAGGGATCTCTTCGGAGGTCCCTCCCAAGACTCTCTACCTTCCCCGTCGCTTCTACATTGTCTTTTGTAAGAGCTGCCTCATGATGAACTCGTTCCCTGTAGAACCAACAGAATGAGGACTCTTAGTCAGTCATCTGGATGTTTCCTATTATTATTATCTTTTGGTACTGCGGATTGAACCCAGGGGTACTTATCCACTGAACCACATCCCCAGCCCTTTTTCTTTCTTTCTTTTTTAATTTAGACACAGAGCCTTGCTAAGTTGCTGAGGCTGGCCTCCAACTTGCAATCCTCCTGCCTCAGCCTCCCAAGTCTCTGGGATCATGGGTGTGCTCCAACACACCCCGCTTTACAGATTCATTCTTGATGATTCAGTCTTCATTCATCTTTTGACTTCCGCTGAAGTCTTACAGCACTTTAGAGTCTGAGCCATTTACCTGGCACATGATTTCTACTTTGTGGTATCATCTGTTTTAAGGAAAGACTAATCTTTTCTCCTCAATTCAGTTGGAAATTCTTTTTCTTTTGGTAGGTGCCAAATCTTAAAAAACAGTCTGTGTTAGCCAGAGGTTTTTACAGGGTTCAGCGTTCAGTTAAAGCCTGCCACTGGCTAATTGGAACATGAGGTTTTCCATTAGTAGGCAGTACGGTCGGCTCTGACTATCTGTGGGTTCTGTGTCCATATGGATTCAACCAACCCATAGGTAGAAAATTGCACCTGTTTGAATGTCTATAGATTTTTTTTTTCTTGTCATTATTCCCCAAACTATATATTCTAACAGCTATTTGCAAAGCATTTACATTGTATCGGGTGTCCTAAGTCATCTAGAGATGATTTAAAGTATGTTAGGATGAGCTGGCACGCCTGTAACCCCAGCAACTTGGGAGTCTGAGGCAGGAGGATTGCAAGTTCGAGGCCAGCCTCGGCAAATTAGCAAGCTTCTAAGTAACTTCCCTGTCTGATACAAAATAACAAAACAAAAAGGGCTGGAGTTGTGGCTCTGTGATCCAGGGCCCCTAGGTTCAATCCCTGGGGCCCCAAAAAAGTAAAAGACTGAATTCTTGGTAAATCAAGTGATATGGTGCCTATCCAGGTTAAAACAAAGAAATGTTTGAGCAATATTTGGATAATATATATATCCTTTTTTTTTTTTTTTTTTTTTTTAGATTGAGCTGCCCAGGGTCTCAAGCATGCTAGGCCAACATGCTACCACTGAGTCACACCCCCAGGCCCCCCTTCACATTTTTAAAAGTGTCTAAGAAAGGAAGGAAGGAAATAGAAAGAGGTCTGTGGGGGGAGCCTAGGCGGGTAGGATGGGCAACAAAAACAGAACAGACTCAGTCTTCAAATACTGTCAGAAGTTTCAATAACATGATAATTTTTAATATTAAAAGTAAATTGTAAATGTATCTTTATAAACAATATGCATAAAATAGATCATATTCTAAAACCTTTTTTTAAAATGTTTTTTTTTTTTTCACAGTAAATTTCTTAGGTGTCAGATTTTCCCCTCAAAATAATAGTGCAATTGGAAGAAGAGACAAGCTGTCGCCGGAGCGGGACTTCTGGGCTAATACAGGTCCTTGTAGATCTCCTGCAGGAGCGGGTGCAGACTCATGTCCGTTTCCGTCTTCTTGATCACTTGCAATAGCTGCACGTGCTCGGTGACGATCTGTCTGAGGTCTGTCATTTTCTGGAGCAGCTTGGCAAACAGCTGCGAGGCCTCGGGGTGGTTCAGCTTGAGCTGGAGTTCCAGGGCTTGCAGCAGGTTGTCCTGGATCTCCTCGATGGGCTTCACGTTCAGCAAGCCTGGGCGGTCTGCAGAGCACAAACGGAAAACACAGGGGCTCAGTCACAGCGGCTCTGGGCAGCTCCAGACTGCTCCCATTCCTGATTGGGTTTTGTTTTGGGCTGAGACACACCCCCGGGCCCTGTTTGGCTTCTTACAGAGTCAGGCAGGAGGGTGGTAAGCAGGTAGTGGGCAGGAACTGAGGATGGAATTAAAACCAAACCATCAGAGCCCCTTCCAGAGAATTCTTTTCCTGGCCAGGCCTAAATCTGGGTGGTTGATGTAACACGACCTCAGAACAATTCTGTCCTCAAATTGAGGCCTCTTCTGCCAACACGGTTCTCCTCAGAAATCTCATTTCCAAGTTCTGCTCTTTCTGGATGAATTGGCCTTACACAGATTCTATCTACCCTCTTTAAGTATGTTTTTTTTTTTTAAAAAAAGCATTGTCTTTTTGGCTTAATATAGTATATTACATTTTCAATGTGATAAAACATAGTTTTAAAATAACTGTTACAGTTTGGAAGGAGAGACTCCCTCCCTGTCCCCAACTTTAATAGCTTTCTTCTGAGTGGGGACACTGCAAGTAATTTTTGTCAACATCTTCTTGGTTCTTATTTCAATTTTCAAATGAACTTAAATTACTCTTAAACTTTTGCTGTTTTTCTTCATGTAGACCTTACTGGATTTATCCTTAAGTGCTTTAGGATAAATCTACTGTGAATGGACTCTTCATTTGCAATACATATCTAATACATCCCTGCAGATGTTTAAAATATTATTGATTTTAGTTATACTGGATCCATTCCAATTTTCTGAACTCTGTCAGTTCAAATAGTTTTTAGTCAAGAGTATTTAAATTTTTTGGATAGGTAATTACATCTGCAAATAATGGGAGCCTTGGTTCTTCTTTTCCACCATTTAAACTTCTCATTTCCTTTTCTTGTCATATTGTGTTGGCTAAAACTATATTAAATTATAGTTGCAATAAGAGACTGCCTTTCTCCCTCACTTTCTCTCTTTCTTTATTCCTTTTTTCCTCCCTTCTTCTTTCTTTTTGAGAAGGGGTCTAACTATATTATCCAAGCTGGCCTCCAACTCCTGGGCTGCAGTGATCCTCCTGTCTCAGCCTCCCAAGTAGCTGTACCACCACACCTGCTGGGATATTTTTCTTTCACTCCTGACGTTGAAGGAAATGCTTACAATGGCTTCCCAGTAAGTATGATATATGTTACAGATCACGGCCAATGTGTTGTACTCTTGGTTTTCCAAGAATTTTAAAGGTTTTAGTTTGTTTTAGTTGGACATGTTGGTTGAATTTTATCAAACGCTTTAACTTTTTTTTTAATCTGAAGAGATATGATATCTAAAGAGATAAAGTTTTCTCTTAACCTGGTACAGTGAAGTACATTAAGATATTTCTTTAGACCCTTGCATTCATTTGCTAGTATTTTATGTAGGGTTTTCACATTTGTAAGGTCCAGAGTGTTAGTTTCAAGCTACTCTTTGCCTGTTTTGGCAGTTAATGTTAATTAGTGTCATAAACAGAGCTGAGACATTTTCCTTCTGTTTCTGTATAGTCATGACCTGTCCCGTGGTGGTTTCTTGGAATTGGTTTGCAGAACCATTGAGCGTGCTGATAAATCTTTTACTGCCTTTAATTTGTTTTCCATAGTTTCTATTCACGCTTTCTAGAACTCATAGACAAACTTTTAGTAATTTACACTGAGATGAAGTTGTACATGCCTGGGCTGACCTCAAATTTGCAAAGCTCCTACTGAAGCCTCCTAAGCTTCCAAGATTATATTCACGCACCTGCGATGCTCTTTAACTGTAAATGCTCTCATTTAAAAAAATCTGACCTGCCAACTATTTATCAACTTTTTTTTTCTTTTTTTAAACATATAGCTTTTCCTGGGTATGGTGGCATATACCTGTAAACTCATCTACTCAGGAGGCTGAGGCAGGAGGATCGAAAGTTCAAGGCCAGCCTGGGCAATTTAGCAAGACCCTGTCTTAAAATAAAAAATAAAAAGGGCTGGGGATGTGGTTCAGTGGTTCAGTGCCCCTGGGTTCAATCCCTAGCACCACAAAAACAAAACAAAATGAAAAAAAAAGCAACCTTGTCACCTGACAGTAAAAGCAGACCTAGGGTTTAGATCTGAGTCTTAACCCTTACTCCCTGGCACTGTTAGTACTGATTTTCTCATTTCTCTCCCCTGTAGTCCCGGAGGTATCCAGGGCACAGACTGTGTCCCTGACAGCTTCTGACCACCAAGACCCATATGTTGGCCAAGTTATGAGGGAGACAGCTGTTCTGGCCAAATGCACTGGATTGGAAGGTATAACTCTCCTGGTTACTGAACAGGCCTGAAGGCAGAATCACCACACAATGGAAAAGTCTGTGAACAGTCGTCTCTAACAGACTCTGGGCACCTTTTGTATCAAGGTGATGAGGCGCAAGAGAACAATGGAGCGCACAGTGGTCTCAGGGCAGGATATTCTCCTAAATTAAGATTTCTTACTATTTTTTCACTATAGAAGAAAACTTGTCCTTGACTCCCCCACTCTGACTTCTCTAGCATACCCCATGGATGGGATCAAGTCTTTACACATTTCTGCAGCATTTATTCCTGGATCCATCAGCAAAAACCTCCTAGATTCTGAGAATGAAACCAATTCTTTGCTCCTGGCCCACGGAATCGTGTGCACCCCGCAACCCCCTTCATCAATGTTCAAGATTTCAAAAGCAGCGGCCGTGAGAAAGTGTGTGTGCACCTGAGTGGTGGCAGCTGGGGTGAGCAGGTGTCATCCCTTGTGACATTCATCTAGTAGGTTCTCGTTTATCAAAAAACCAAACCCGAAAAGGCGAAGGTTGGGGCCGGCTGCTGCACACTTGGCCCCGGGGCAGTTAGTGCAGCCAGTGCAGCCGGTCCCTATAGAGTGGGGAAGGATCTGGTTTGGATTTTCCAGCCCCTCTCTGGCAAGTTCCTCTTTATGAAGTGATGCATGATGTTTGGCTGAAGTGCTAGAATTATGTGGCCGCAGATTAAGGATATTTTCTCCAATGACAAATAGGATCATTTATGGATCAGTCCCACTGTCCCCGACACAGCCTCAGTGAAGAGAGAACGGTTTAGGGCAGTAAGGCTGCAGAGTGGGAAAAGCCACATATTCTTCTCCCTGGTCTTTCTCTCCCCAGCTCTGTGACCTTGGGGCAAACTGATTAAGTGTGCTGGGCTCAATTTCCTCCTCTGGATGCTAAATGGATGGGATTCAATTGATGATCTCTAAATCCCTAATTCAAAAGTTCTCAAGATGTATTCCCGTGTGTCATTCCCTCTGGTACACAGTGCCTGATAATTCGACTGGGGAAATCAACTCCAAACCCTAATTGGAAAAGTGTGATAACAGGCTTATACGTTCAACTTCGAATGTCAAATGGAATGTTAATAAAAAAATAATAAAAATAAAACCAAAAAGAGCCTCCTTCAGTGTTAAGCACATGGGTCAAGGGCAAAAAGGATCCTGCCTTGCTCTTTTCACTGTCCTCTACACACACACACACACACACACACACACACACGCGCGCGCACGCACACACGCACACAGATCTTTACTGAGCTAAGCTGGTGCCACGGTGAGCCACAGGGGTCTTTTGGGACACCCAGAACCGCCCTGGGTCCTCTCCTTGGCCTCTTCATTCCTCAGAAGTCCAGGGCTACCTGAGGTCCCCTTGCTGCACCTTGCTACGGGTGAGTCTGCAGGATGTCAGGGTCAAGGGCCCCTCTTTGCTGGCCAGGGCTGCCCAGAATGCCCTTTGGGGGAGTGCCTGTTGACTAGCACTTCAGGAGGCTGGAGTCAATTACTGGTTCCTGACTCCCCAGGCAGCACAGAATTGGGTAAGAAACCTTTCCGCTCTCCATTCACACAGTCCTGGAATTGATTAGAGGGGACTATGGATGAGGGGCAGAGCCACAGAGCTTCCATGTTAATTCTGGGTTCACTGGAGAGTTTATTCCTGATTTCCTTTCCTGGGCTGCTCCCTAAGTTCAGAGGTGGGTTCTAAGGAACTGAAGATGGGATTGGGGTCTGCGTGCCTTTGGACAAATCACGTAACCTTAATTTTTAAGACAATAACATTTGTCATCAGGCCATGGGGAGAATGAAATAGGTAAAAGAAATGTCAGAGAGCTATTACTATTCTCTGTGTTTGCTCAAATAAAGACAATGGCGGGCTGGGGTTGTGTGGCTCAGTGGTAGAGCCCTCGCCCAGCACGTGCAAGGCCCTGGGGTGCCACCTGAACTTGGTAAGAGTGGCAACTTGGGAACACAAGGAAAACAGTTCATGACGCAGATGTGTTTGGGGGTTCAGGTAAGTCTCATTGTGGTCATTGACTGCTGGCATGCAGGACAGTTTAAAAATAATCACAAACCAAAAAAAAAAAACGTCACAGGGCCCAACTAGGGATTCTGGGATACTTTTCTGATGGAACCATCAGAATCCTGGAGGTTGTTGGTCTAGTACGGTGTGGCCTCTACTAATTCCCTCCCACCATCTTTCCTTTAGAAAGTTTCCCCTGAGTTCTGTCCACACTGAAGTCTGCGTTGGAGCTGGGCCTAGTGCAGGGAGTCTCGATTTTGGTACATGTCGACATCATCTGGGGGCATCAAACACTAACTAGGGGCTGGGGAGGTCGCTCAGTGGCAGAGCGCTTGCTTAGTAAGTCCAAGGCCCTGGGTTCAGACCTCAGCACAGCAAAATAAATAAATAAATAAATAAGAACAGATCTGGAGCAGTCACCTAACTCATGGTATTGTTCAGAGGATTAAATGAGTGAACGCAGGGCGAGCTTAGAGCTTGTCCTTTAGCATTACTATTTTTCTTAGTGCTCCTCAAACTTGGCTCCTTTTCCTCCTTTCTTCTCTCATTCTCTAATTATCCTGGGTTTCTTTCTAGATCTTTCCTATTCTTTCTCCCTTAACTGTTCTTATCTCAGTTTTCCCCCCGTTTATTTCTCTCTTCTTG